TTCGTATCTTGGCCAGGCAAAGAATTGACTAGGTACCAATCCTTAACTGTTCCTCTGTTCACCCAGTAGTAATTGGGTATCTGGTTGGTAACCAATTGGCAGGTCATGTTCCAGGGAATACTAGTAGGTAAGGCTTACCATGAGCTACAGAAAGGGAAAGCTCTTGGCCAGCTAACAAAAGTCGGAAGTCATCAGTTCCTGTTCCTATGTGTGTAAAGAAAAAGGTGGAACTAGGAGTTTTCTAGGGTTCCGGCTTAAACATAAGTGTTTAATTTCATTCGACATCCTAATTCTGAGCTAAGACTTCTCAGATGCTCCCAAAGATAACTAAACCAAGGAAAAAGAAAGATTACTGTATCTCCAAAGTAAGAGAACGACACCATCTGCTGTCACAGGTAGAGGAGTTGACAGATGAGCACTCCAATATCCTAGACCTTTAGGAAGGCAAATATACTTACCAGATGGGGAAACATAGAATGTAAAATACCCTGACTCATGGAAGATCCAATTCAACTGACACAAATCAGGATTTATTAACTGACAATCAGTTTTAGCAAGATTTTTTTTTTTTTTTTTTTTTTTTTTGAGATATATACAAGAGTTGTTACATTCTTGTAGAGCCACTAGTACGCGTAGCGTTTCGGGCAAGTCCTTAATCCTATGGTCCCTGGAATACGATCCCCTGCCGCGAAGAATCGTTTTTTCATCCAAGTACACATTTTACTGTTGCGTTAAACAGAGGCTACAGTTAAGGAATTGCGCCCAGTAAATCCTCCCCGGCCAGGATACGAACCCATGACATAGCGCTCGCGGAACGCCAGGCGAGTGTCTTACCACTACACCACGGAGACTGCAAACAACAACTGACAAAATCAGTTGCCAATTAAAAAATGGGATGCATTCTGAAAAGCCATTTGTAAGTTGGCGGCTCCTGACTCGGAACTAGACAACTAATAATCAACATATAAAATGAAAATGTTTGGGACAAATAATATTAGAAGCCGCCCTCCTTATTTACCTTGAGTGATGCAATTGTCCTGCTTGTCTAATTTGATTTTTTGTAGAGCAAAGTGGTACTTACCTTTCAGTACTTGCCTATCACTGTCTAGCTTTTTAAGAGGATTAGAGACCTTATGAGGGAGTGATGTCTAGCTCTTTATGCCCCACCTACTAGCCATGTACATGTTGCATTACAACCTAACTACTCTGATTATCAAATTCTTTCTTGAATAGGGCCTTAAAGTTGTGGATGGAAGTGACTTCCAGAACCTCCTCTTGTAAAGCATTTCACTTGTATTGTTAATGTAAAAATAGTACCCTGTACTACCCATACAAGGTATGAGTACTTTCTTACATCCCTTCGGCTTATTAATTAAATTTTTTAGGGTGCAATTAAGAGAAGGTGGCAGTAAATGGTGATGCTGAGCTGCCGGCTGCCACAACACACTTTCTCTTATAAACCACTATTAAGACACTTTTCTGCGATAAATAACTGAAATAGGGCATTATTAGCACTGTCAATCCTGTGTGAACTTCAGAATTGGTTTGTACAGCAGGACATAGGGCTAAAATTTGTATTTTGAGGCCAGCCTCAAAATTTGTATTTTGAGGCCATTCATGAGATTAGATGTTCATATACAAAACCTGCCACCACCACCACCAATTCCACAACCACCACAAACTCGCTTTCCATCTCAACCACCAACTCTTCCTCCATCACAACCACTATCTCCACCTCCACCACCACTACCACCACCTCCACCACCACTACCACCACCTCCACCACCACTACCACCACCACCACCACCACCACTACCACCACCTCCATCAACACCACTACCACCACCACCAACTCCTCCTCCATTACCACCACCATCAACGTCACCATCACCACCATCAACATCTCCATCACTAACACCACCAACTCCTCCATCACCACCACCACCACCAACTCCTCCATCACCACCACCACCACCACCAACTCCTCCATCACCACCACCACCACCACCAACTCCTCCATCACCACCATCATCACCAACTCCTCCATCACCACCAACTCCTCCATCACCACCACCACCACTCGTCCATCATCACCACCACCACTCCTCCATCACCACCACCACCACTCCTCCATCACCACCACCACTCCTCCATCACTACCACCAACTTCTCCATTACCACAACCACCACCAACTTCTCCATTACCACAACCACCACCACCACCACAACCACCACCACAACCACCACCACAACCACCACCACCTCCATCACCACCACCAACTCCATCACAACCACCACCAACTCTTCCTCCATCACAACCACCAACTTTCATCTCCATCACCAACTTTTCCTTCTTTTCATCACCTTTTCTTCTATCACCACCACCTGCTTGGACTCATTCCACACCTTGTGTGCAAAACACCAACCCCTGTACATTACTTGGTCTGTACTCGCTACCTCTCCATCTGTGACAGTCCTTGACTGTATTTTACAATTTACGATAATTTACAAACGAACAGAATTAAAATGCACCATTAGTATTCTCGCATATTGCTAGTACTTTGGCACTGTAGCTGGATTTTCTCTAGATAAATTAATAAATGTGTATCTTATTTAGCAACTTTGTAAAGTTGCTACCTTAAATAGAGGTTTACTTGCATTATAAATTGTTTTTCCCATTGGGCACAGGAAGCCTTTATTTAAACTTAGCAAGGTTTTAGGCCAGCTACTGACCTTTCCTCGGGATACAACCCACAACAGTTGCTTAACTCCCAAGTACCTATTTAGTGCTAGCTAAACAGATGTATTATGTAAAAGGAAACATTGCCTAACCATCTGTTCTGCTCAGGGGGTTAACCAGGGACCCTCAGTTGTGAGCGTATACTCAGTACTGGCTGGTCTTTGGCTCTAGTTTAAGAAAATTTTGTAGTGTACTTGTTGCACAGCAGCAACAGCAGTAGCATGTGCATTTTGTTGCATGGGAAAGAAATCGGTTCATATTTTGCATCAAACTTAGGTTCTTTGATATGTGCAAAGCTTATAACCAATGTGTGTTACAGGTGAATTGAAACATATTATGAAAAGAAACAAGTTAATTTTAGTTGTATTATGTACTTGAGATTTGAAAAGTATATGCTACTTTTTCTGAGCTGGCTCTCTCAATTGGCTCCCTGGAGCTTAGGCCCCTCAATCATACCAGGTTCCTGAGACATGATGTACCGAGAATTAGGACCAAGAGCTGACCTTCTCACAAAAGCCATGTTAGCATAGAGATTAAAGATTGATCCAGAACTGTAGAAACCAATAGAAAATTTAACAGGCACAATGAAAGAAAACCACTGCTCTCAAGAAATTAAAATAAGAAAACAAGGCAAACAATACTGAAGTGTGGTTATCAAGAGATAAACAATGCTTACCCAACTCTCATGACAGCCACTGGTTGGCAGCCCAGGTCAGTTGTGGTCGCATTCCACTACTCTTCTCACTCACAAGTCTGACACTGTCCGTGTCATGCCTAAATTTTTATTTCTGTTAATCATGGCTAAGTCGTCATCGTGGTTTATCTAACCATTTACAATACACGAGGTCTTGCTTTGTTCATGATTTATTTTGCTTTATGATTGTGTTTACACCACCCCCATTGTTGTAAGAGAGAGATCCTTGTGAAGGGTATAATGCAGTAGAGATGTAGAAACAGCAGTGTTAAATGTTAAAAAAATTTAGAACTCTTACAGTTGAAATCCCCGCTAGTACAATAGGCAGTTGTGCACATTCGCAGAGCATTGTCATAGCAGGAAAACGTCATCCCCAGAACAGGCAGGTGTTGGTATGGGTATGGGTATGGCTTTCAATCCTCTACCTTACATTGTGTATCCCTGGTTTATTACACATATTTTACTTCAATATATGCTTCTGGAGATTAATTTTCAGGCATTAGCTGGTACATTCTTTCCAAGAGAGTTATAGTACACTAACTGTAAATGGTACTTGTGTGTGTGTGTGTGTGTGTTAATTACCTAAGTACAGTAGTTACACATTGAAAGCTGTGTTCATAGTGTCCTACCTTCCCTGTCATCTTTGTCATGTGATGCTTTGAAGCTTCCAGCAGGTTTATCATTCACTGATTTATTCCATCTGTCTATAGTTTTTTCTTGTCAACTTTGTCAATTCTTAACATGATTTTGTATGCAGGGATCATATCGCCTCTTTTTCCTTCTGTTTACTAACTTTGGTATATTTAACCCCTCCAAACTCTTCTCATAGCTCTTGTGTTTTAGGTCCAAAAGCTGTTTAGTAACATATCTTTACACCTTTGTGTGATTATGTTGTTGCTGGATTTCTGTTTTGATCATACAGTACTTCCTTCTAGGGTGACAGCCTATCAGGCTGTGGTCTCTGTAAGAGGTTGCACTTTACAATACAAGCACTTGCTGGCCTTGGCAAAAGCAGGGAATCCCAATAATTTTTAAGTGAAGGAATTTAAGAATTTGATTTTTGCGACTTCCACTTCACTATCAAATCCCCATTACCTGCTTCTCCTAACCTGGCCTTTAGTTGAGCTCCCAGACCCTGCCATTGATCAGTGCCAAAATGAACTTAAATCAAGGCTCTGGTCCTGGGTCTCGGTAGGCTTTCTCAGTCTCGGGGACCTGGCATGATTAAGTCTTTGGTACTTTCGTAGCGAGTTCCACTATAATTCCTTGAGCGCCAGGGATCTAATAAGGGACTGCCACGATAGGGGCTTTTCGTTCCTTTTACTGCTATATTTTAAGGACCTTGGTTAATTATGTAAGTATAGTTCTGATAGCATATTGTACTTTAAAACAGATGTTATGAATACACAATTCTTATGAAAATAAACGAATATGTATTGAACTGTAACAATCAAGTTGAATTAAAATTTCATAACAGCAACATTATATTTACCGCATGCACATTCATATTCTAGCAGTATAATTTAACATGTTGACCCTAACATATTTTTGTTCAAACCCTTTCAGAACTAGATGATGGTGCATATAATCCATTGTGGACAACCAAAGGCTTCACTCAAACATTTCATTTCTGGAAGGAATCCCGCCGAGCCCAATCTGTTCCACTTAATGCCTATCTCACTTATGTCACACTGCCGTGGTTCACCATTATCACAGGTAATTGTTAGGTATCCTTAGTAGAAATACCTTATGGATTTGTTATGCTGAATTATGTCTTTTTCTAGGAGGCTCCATGGTGGCATCTTGGTGCTTGCTGCCTGGCAAGCTCCACCCAATTAAACTTATGTTAGATCTTTGCAAGATATATATAAGCCTACCAGGAACCAGAGGCCAAAACCACGTGCCCCTCTAATGAGGCACAAGGATCAGGGGATTGTAAATTGCCCTAACCTAGAAAAGGGAAGGGGGACAAGTCATGCATACATACAATAAATATTGGACAAGTACCCAATGAGCGAGCGGGGAAGTGGAGATAGCTCAAGAATAGACTGGAGGGGAAACATCGTAGTCAAGGAAAGTAGTGCCAAGGCTTAGCCCAGTTCCTGGTCTGGGCTAAGCTCTAGTTGTCCTGTTCTAAGGTCTGGGTTAGAACTCTTGCCTTTTTCTGTACTTCATTGTTCTACAATTTCATATTTTCATTTATATTTATTGCAGGGTAGTGAAGGAGCTGATCAAAGTATTTGAATCCTATCCTGCCAATGGAGATGATCATAGTGTTTCGATTTATGAGAAAAGTGACATTAGATGGTCCATTGAGCAGTAGGGGGGTCTGATTTTTAGGATTGATGGATCCAAATCTTGACATTATGACAAAAGATAGCCTTTTGGGTATCGATTCAATGGTTATGGTGTTTTCAGGCCCTGTGGTTGCAGGTTCAGCACCAGTCTCTTGAGGTTGAGGTGAGTGAATGGCTTCCAACACTGGTGGTGGCGCTTCCAAGGCGCATGTCGTTTCCTGTTCAGTGACTGGTGGTGGTATTGTCCAGTACTTCCGAAGCGGATGGCAATCCTAGTACATCTTTAAGGACAATCACTGGTGGTAAACTATTAGCCACTAGGTCTCTCTGAAAGAGGCTGTGATTATCCTCGGTGGCTCTATTTTCAAATGCAATGATGACCTTCATATGTATGTTGGAGATGGGTGATGTTGGTATTTCTGAATGTGGTACAACTTAGGGTAGCTGTTGGGTGTTACCCACCCAGGCCACTGTTTGTTGTCATTACTGGAGTGTGAATTGTCTTGGTATGGCAGGGAATTGGTTATCATCACTGTTGTACGGTATGGGCATCTGTTGTGTCGGGTTCCAGTTGTCTTTGTCCAGGTCTTGAGTTTTTGCAACTCCTTCTTTTAGAGGCACTGGTTTGACACCACTATTTGATTTTCACCACAGAGAGCACATTTCCTGGTGTTATTGGTGCATATCTTCCACTGTGAGTCAAAACAGGACTACAGGAGGGTAAACTAATCATACAAAATAGGGCAGTGAAGCCCCAAGATTTATGAGCCACTTGCTGGGGAGGTAATTCTCATTTTAGTTACACCTGCACACCTTTTTCCTCATACCACCAACCCTTATCCTCCAGTCACATAAGCTTGGCATGTCCATTAAACATGTTCACTGTTACACTCCACTTCCTCCTCAGTGGAGGGTTGTCTACAAGCAAGGAAGAATAAGGAACATCATGCTGCAACCAAAAGGCCCCAAAACTGAACTGAATTCAAACAAGGCCAATCCATCAAGTTAGCAAGTTCCTGATCCCCACAGGAAGAACTGAAACAAGTCCATCATTGCCGAAGAAAGTCAAAGCTGACTTTTGGGAAAGTAAGGCCGATGATGGAAAAATTCTGAAACATGATGAATCCAAGGACTCAAACTGTACACAGTACACAAAACTGGGGATGAACAGCCATGGAAACATGCTCAAACATGGATGAGTCAAGTCCTCTGCCCAGAGCAAAAGACCTTCCACAGAGGAACCAAAAACCAGGTTCAGCTGGGTGTACATCATTTATGGAGTCCAGTTGTGGCCATTCACTGTTATCTCTGCACCATTAGCATTGCATGGATAGATGCTCTGTTTGTGGATACAGTTTTCCCTAGTTCCATGTTCCAGAGCCCATTTTTCTTAGGTTGTCTGCAGTTTCATCGGGTTTAGCCAACCTTCAGTCTACTGTCCAGTAGGACAGTAGATCCCTTAGTCGCTAAAGGGATGTTCATATGTTTGCATCTCTGACCGTGTTTTTTTTAAATACTGTTTGTCTTAGGCAAATATTCAGGCTCGGTTGTTTTGGTGGTGCAATAGAGTTCTTGAATCATGCTGGGCTTGTGCGACTTTCGGGTAGTTAACTTGTCAATAATTCCCCCTTTTATGGGGTTACTTTCTGCAGCTCTCATATGCCCCTGATGTGTACCTCTTTTGTTTTTGCTTTGTGGGGACCTTTGTGGAGCCTTCACAGAAAATCTTGGAACCCTCACTTCCCTATTCCAGGGTTTCAATTTTTTTCTTCTTTCTGGTTAATTGACTTGAAATTCATGGGAATGGAATTGAGGAGGAAGGTGTGTGTTCCCTTAGTGGTGCACAGGCGGAACTATCTAGGAAAACTGCATTATGTCTGGGTGATGTGTTCGTCTAAGGGATTCGCTGCCTCATTCTATGCTTTATTTAGCATGCTGTTTGTATATTTTGGTTTGCCCACTTTTCTGATGGCCTTTTCTTGATTTTGGTGGTCTAAGTTTCCTACTCATTGTGCTTCTTCAGAAAGGGGGGGCCAGGCATAGGCTTTAGGTCCCTGGAAGGCTTACAGTGACTTGCAAGGGTCTTGTGTGGATTAAATTGTCCGGGGCTTGCCAGGTAGCAAGCACCAATGATCCAGCAAGGACCACCCAGAAAAGGGCATTTCATTATATTCGGTGCTGAATTTGTTCAGTGAGATATATTGAGAAAGCTTTATTGAATTGACTTGATACTGATACCTCTTTTGTATGATTTTAAAACATTGGTTTTTATATTTTTATATAGTATATGTGTCTCTTTCCCTGAGAAACAAAATATTAATGTGACATGAATATGCCTATAAAGTTTCCTGAGAGGACTTTCCCATCAGCTCCCTAAGCTTAACCACTGGTACAACCAAACCATGAGAATCACACCTTCGCCTAATAGGAGTCGGGACTAGAATTTGGCTCTTTATTCATGAGGAGGCAAGTTGGAGATTAGATCATCCCAAAACTGATAAAAAAAATCCATTAGAAAGAATGGGCATAACAAAACAAGCTGTTACTTGAAGGAAATTAGGTACTCTGAGGTAAACAAGGTACAGTAAATGATCATTTCTGAGGGGTGAATGTTCTAACTGTAATGTGCCCAGCTGCCACCAAATTGCAGCCCAGATCACTTGAAATCTCAGCTAGCCTGCCCCTGCACCTGATCTCTTGAAGTCTCAGCTAGACTTCCCCCGCACCTGAGCCTGTATTGAATTTGGCTAAAAATATGGCTCAGGCGTCGAATTTGGGATGTTTGGGATATTTTGAAAACTGCAGGGGGGTTTAGGTAAAATGTGACCTATCGCCGCTATCAGTAATTGGCATATTTTTGGTATAAAAAGTCTTAATTTCAAACTGCAAATACGTGCAGAGCCAGAATTTGGCTCCAAAATGTGGCTCAGGCATCGAATGTAGTTCAGGCTCGGGTAGTTTCAAAGCGTTATATGACAAAGAGTGCTGGGAAGACGGGACACCACGAGCATAGCTCTCATCCTGTAACAACACTTAAATAATTACACTTAGGTAATAATTACCTGATCACTGTAATGGAAGCATACCTCTGACAGGGTCCCTCTTCTGTTCCCTGCTTTCAACTAAGTGGTGTCAGCTATTCCTGGAACACTTGTTTTGTCAGAAGACCATTGCTTTGTTATTGCTTCTTTTATCTTTTACAATTGTCCTTGATATCTTGCAACCCTCAACGTGGATGTGTGGTGCTTGGACAAAAGATCCATCTCTTATGCGCTTTGCTTCCTTCTCTGAGCCAAGAACTTTTGCCATCTTACCCCACTGGTAACCTTTTTCTCATCTTTCTGTTGTTCATATATTAATATGTTCTCTCGGGAACTCTGGCATTCTCTTGGAGGAACTGTTAGGAGAAATCTGCAGAAAGCTGCTGAGGCCAACACTAAAAACGATTGTAATGAAATGCGACTTTTGTGTGGCACCTCAGAAGCTTCCCACTCCTACTGTTTTCCCAGTGGGAAGAACAGTAGGAATGTTTTCACTGTGGAAGTGAGGGAAATAGCTAGCTGTGACCCTAGATGAAGTAGGCTGGCATCTGATGGCAGCTGGGAAAGTTATGGAAGTGTCATTTCCCTGTTCCAACTCTCAGTTAGGTTATTTTAGCATTTTCATTCTTTTTCATAGAAATGTTGATGGTTTTGTTTTGTCACTGACTATCTGAGCAGTTCATCTTGGCTGCTGAACTGAGGTGAACTAAACTGTTCACTTTGCTCTTATACACTATTCCAGTTTGCTTCCCTTGCCTGTTTGGTGGGGGAAAGAAGGGCACTTATCAAGCCAGTCTCCCAACAGTCCTGAGAAAGTCTTATGAGCCTGTTGTTTTGAGGCAGCCCTGTGGTGCCAGTGCCATAGGCTCCTGGGAGTTAATGTGCTCCCATAAAATGGTATTTCATTACACTCAAAGGTCTTGCTTTTCTGTGGAGAGCCCCTCCGGCTCCCTGGAGCTTACTGGGCTGATATGTATGTATTAGACTGTGGCATCAGTCAGGAATACGTGCAGAGAGCCAGAATTTGGCTCCAAAATGTGGCTCAGGCATAGAATTTGGGATGTTTGGGATATTTTGAAAACTGCAGGGGGGTTTGGGTAAAATGTGACCCATCGCCACTTTCAGTAATTGGCATATTTTCGGTATAAAAAGTCATAATTTCAAACTGCGAATACGTGCAGAGAGCCAGAATTTGGCTCCAAAATGTTGCTCAGGCATCGAATTTGGGATGTTTGGGATATTTTGAAAACAAGGGGAGAGCAGTCTTGTTGGCCCCTTGGTGGCCAGCCCAGCCTTGGTTTCAGGCACTGCTTTTTCAGTGTCAAAACCCTGGGATCTTTCTGAGGTTCCGCCTCTTTCAGCAGATCGATCTGGTCCA